CACGCCTAGGAAACGCGATGAACAATGAGTCCACTTATCTAAAGCGCCGATATAAAATTTTCTCTCTGAAAAAGTAGACTTGCAATTGTACGGGGTGTTCCAGTTCTATCGTTGTTATTTATTGAATTTATAAAATTATTGTAAAAATTTTTGGAAGCCCGTCAGTTTGAGGGATTCGTCAGAATTACGCGATTTAGTTTTACAGCCTCGGACTTTTTGAGATTCCTCTAAACTGACGCCGCGGTGATTTTCGTAAATCGTCGTCGGTGCCCGGTGAATGCCGGCAGATTAGCCGGCGCCGAGAAGAATAGGCTCAAAGAAGAGTGAAACAATCGCGCGCCCTATTTGGGTGATTCGTGCATTGAAATCGACGGTACAATGGACGGTTGTTCGGCAGCCCGCGAGACAATGAAGGTCCGCGCGAATGAGGGAGACGAAAATGAAGGTGAAAATGAAGGCTATAAACGTAACAATGCGGCACCCTCCTGCGCGACCGAGTGGGCCCTTCGATCGAGAGCAAAGTTTTCTCGAGTCCGCGGCTACCAATCGCTCGATCGATTCCCTCCGCTCGATCGAAACAGACAGGGCACGTTACGCAACGTCAAATTATTACCGACATTTCACCACGAATCTTGGAAAATGAAGTTTTACGAGGAAGGATGTGCCGGCTCCACAGTCTCTTCCTTTTCTTATTCCTATAACGTTCGATCTTTTTCCCAAGTGGCCAAGATACGCGAAAGAATTAAATTTCAACTCGGAGACTTCAGAGTATACCAAAGTTTATATAGCTTACCTTTCGACCTCAATATTCAAGTTAACATCTTTGGTATACTCTGGTATACTAAAGACGTTAACTTGAATATTGAGGTCGAAAGTAGCATCAAAATTTCGACTCGGGAAAATAGATAAGGCCGATTGATATCTCCCGGATCGGAATCCATCGAAAGGAAGCGAGGTCGCCCGTTAAACTCGCCATTAGAGCAAACGGTGCGTGCGTACGTAACGTGCAAGGTAAATTACACGATGCACCGCTCGATCGGCCGCCCCACATTCCCTGATGCTCGACCGGCGAATTTCGGCGTTCGGCCCGGTCAGCCGGTTCCCAATGATTATCCACTTAAATCGTGAAGTCGCGAGCAATTATGTGGGGGTGCGAGGGTTAATTCGATAATTGCGTTATATTCCGTTCCGCGAGTAATTGCCACCTTTCCGCGAATGCAAATCCCTCCCCGCCGCGGCGATACCACCTAAAAACTTACCCATCGCCCGGCTCAACTACACACGACGATACCCCATTTAACCATTTTACTGTCTCGCCCGCTGAAGTCTCGCTGATTGCACGGCAATTAACGAAAAATCTGTCACTAATTTACTTTAACATGAATAATTATAATTTTTATTCGCCGATCCTCGGTCGATCTGAGATCGACTTTCGATCGAGCGACTGCGAACTGCGACTGTCACTTCAATTGATAATAACTCTGTAAAAAA